TTTTTCAAGTGTCAATGTGTATACACAACACATTTACAAGACCAACCGATCAAAAGATTATCCCCCAAAAAAAAGCATCGGATCGATCACACTAACAAGAAACAAAACACAACAAACAATCTGTGATGTGACTTCACTTACGCCCTCGCACTCCCACACACACTCGAGAGAGAGAGAGAGAGAGAGAGAGAGAGAGAGAGAGAGAGAGAGAGAGAGAGAGAGAGAGAGAGAGAGGAAGCTGGTGTCAAATCAAAAACACCTTTTTGGATATACCAAAGTCTCTTTCTTCAAAACGCATAAAATTAATCTCTACCTAATAAAGAAATCATATGAATCACCAAAAAGAAAAAGAAAAAAAAAAGATGAAAAAAAAGTAAGTGTTGAACGTTAGCTCAAAAAGGAGATGGAGAGAAAAAGCTAATCTTTACTTGGAGTTTCAATCATGCCTTCTGCATTCCCCTTTGTAAAGCTCCTCTCTCACTCCCTCTTTCTTCTTCTCCTCTTCTTTTTTTTTTTTTACTTTTTCAAATATCCATTCTACAGATGGAATATATGCAACTAACTGATGAAGGATAGTTATTTTTAGGGGTGACTATTTAAGTTATTAACCGAACTGAACCGATGAATTTGAACTGGACCGAATATATAAATAACCAAAAGCAGTTTTTTTTAAAATGAGTTTTTCACTAAAAAAAACGAATTCGAATCGAATCGAAAAAAATCGAACCACATCGAATAAAAAATTGATTTAAAAATCACATGATTGTAGTTTTTTATAACCGAATCGAAATATAACCGAACCGGAATCCGAAATGACCAACCCTACTTATTTTGGTTTGGGTAAAGAAACAAAACCGGATAATATATAATCATATTTGGACTAAATTTGATTTGGAAACCCAGTGACTAAAAATTTATAAATTAAATCGATTGAATTTGAACAGATTGTGAAAATAATGGAAAAAAAAAATCAATGGAATACCAACAAAAATCTTTGTAAAAAATATTTGTGTAAAATCTTTGAAATTGAATAGAATTCAAATCGAACCGAAATCTAAAAAACGACGATTTGGTATACTATTTTTAAAACAGAAAAAAAAATCAAATCAGCAAATGATCCGACCAAAATTTAAAATATAAAAAACAAGTATAACCAAAAAAATATATATTATGATATAAATTTTATTAGAAAAAAAACTAGTCAGTCGAATTGAAGGACCACTTCGTTCTAGATCCTGTAGTTTGAAGTGTGATTTCTTTTTGTTTTTTGATGGAATGTTTCATCAATAATATTATATTCAACAGAAATTAAAAAAATGATTTTTTTTTTAAAAAAAAAGAGTTTAGAAAAAGTGATTTTTACAAATATTTATTGCGACTTTTTTTTCACCACATCAAGCTTTATACAATAAAATAATTAAAAGGAATTAACTGCCTAAAATTCAAGTCCCAATTATTATACAAGAGTGGAGCTTGAACAGTAGTAATAATCAAAAGGATTTACCATTACCATGCAGCTTTTGTCATTAACATGATTGGGACTTGGCAAAGCTTCACTTGGTGGATATTCCCACATAAAACAAATCATTTACCCATGTGTGTGTGCGCAAGTATATATATATATATATATATATGTATATATATATATATTGTTGGAAATGTCATAGTTTCCAATTATTTTAACTCAAAACGGGTTAGCGGGCATTTTTTTTTTTGTTAATTTGTGTGTTATATTAATATATATATTTATATTGTTGGATAGTTTCCAATTATTTTAACATATAACTCAAAACGGGTTAGTGGCATTTTTTGGTTAGTTTTCGTGTTACGTTAATATCGATTTGCCAAAACTTGGATTTTAAAATATGAATGGTTTTATAAATATGTGTGTGTGTGTGTATATATATATATAAGAAAATTCATTAGTATCTTCTTTCGTGTAAAACAATCTCCCTTTTTTCAAAAACGTGTAAAAATTAAATATAATTGAAGTAAGTATGTTTAATAATAAAATATAGATAATCTCTCCATTCAATATTTTTGTATTTTCTTTGTCTCGAACACACACAAGTTATAAACTCATCAACGCCAAAGTTAACTCCAAATATTTCGTACCATTGTTATTTGATCATTTCTCCTGAATTACACGAGCGAATATACCAAATACACGAACTATATATTAAGGACTGAATCATATGCTTTATCCGAATGGTAACGCAAGCAAAATGCATGAAATGATTGCAAAGATGATGGGGGGACCCACTTTTGCATTTGTGTGTGTGAGTGAGTAGGCTTTTGATTAGTGATGATTTCAGAGGATCCCTTGGATTGAGGAGTATATATATACATACATACACACACATATATATATATATATATGCATATATATATGTATATGTATATGTATGTGTATCAGCCTTTAGTCGTGGGGATGGGACCCTTTTACATTAGTTTTTACCACATTATCAAAAGAAGAGACGAAGGAATTCAAAGGAGTCGAGAAAAAAGGATAGAGAATATATGTGATGTGCACTGCATGTGACCCAACAGCCTTTTGTGTTTCCCTTCTTCTATGCATATTTATACTTCGTATTATATA